TAGCAGCTTCAATTAAACCCAATCATGCACTAATTACTTAACATTAACTATAAAAAATACCTTCTAATGTTACACACACGCAACTGTTCAATTCTATTAAAACTCACAAATGTGGTCCAAATCATCCACTAAAAAAAACTAAATTTCATTAAATTCATTCATTCATATTCATTTTATTTTCGTAAACAAATTTCTATGGTGTCACAATTTATATTTGTCTACAAAACTGATTTCAAGAATGTAAGCATAAGTTTTTAAATCAAAATGTCTTTAAGATCATGAAAAACACAAATTCAGTCAGGTCTGTCCAAATGTAAGTGCGCTCCAGCTGTACTCAGATTTCTTGATAATTGCACATCTAGCTGAACAATTTAATGAATAATATGTTCTGATTGCCCTGATCACATCTTTTATTCTATTTTGAGTCCATGCATAATCTCTATTATATTATTTACCAGGGCATTCATGCATATGCATATGTAGGAGGCATATTAATTACCTTTATAAGCTTTAATGTATAGTAAAACAACATTGAAAAAATGATCATGTCCACAGCAAAAATTATATTGCCTTTTTATTTGAGTAAAATGTTCTTATTTTCCTTAAAGCAAGACAAATTCACTACAATTTTAAAATGTATTAAAACATCTTTTAAGAGAATGTATCTTGATTACTTTATAAAAAATGAATTCTTGAGTGATATTTCAGCTATTCTCCTTACTAGTGCTGTCAAAAGACCCGGTATTTCGGTTCCAAGTCGGTACTAAAAAAATGAAAACGTTACGGTACCATGTTTTCTTAAGTACCGGGGAAAAAAAAAAAAAAAAAAAGCCAAGACAGTATCATAAAAGACTATATTCCTGTATAAGTCTTCAGAAGCCTTTCTATAGCTCTGTGTGAGGAAAAGACAGAAAACTGAGTTGTTTCTGAGTAGAAATTAGCATATAGCCCCAAACATATGTGTGGAAAATATCACCAACCCAATGTTTCCCTGTGCTTCTGATAAAACAGCTTCCCCAGACATGCTCTTTGGGAACCCTGAGCAAAGCTTTCAAACACTTGAGTCTTTATCAGACATTTTTCATTAATGCCTGGAGAACTTCACATTTATCAAATGTATGACTGTAGGACACATGAAAGATGCTGAAACTTCATGCTACGAGAGATGAGCACAGCACTACAGGCCCATGTATCTTCAAAATGACATATTTAGTCAGAATTAAAACATGAAGATATATGTTACACCATTTCTTGATGCATGTGGCACGTTTCTAAAAAAAAACTAGACACTCTCATTATAATCAGCATATTAGAATGATTTCTGAAGATCATGTGACACTGAAGACTGGAGTAATGATGCTGAAAATTCTGCTTTGATCACAGAAATAAATTACTTTTTAAAATATATTCAGATAGAAAACAGTTCTTTTAAAATGTAATAATATTTTAGAATATTACTGTTTTTACATGTATAATTGATCAAATAAATGGAGCCTTGGTGAGCAGAAGACACTTCTTTTAAAATTCTTACTGACCCCAAACTTTTGAACTGTAGTGTAAAATGTTAACAAATATATAAGAGCAAACATCCACTTCAAGGAAAGACTCCAAGCTTTTCCTTTAGTAAAAGTCTTGTGTCTTGTGTCATAAAATAAGGGTGTCTAGGACAGCTAATGGACCAGGGGCTGTTGAATGATGATTTAAATCAAGACACTGAGTTCGAATGGCTCTCTGAAAGAACTTTGAGGGTTACAAACACTTTTCCACCGTGTCCTTGTCCAACTCTGCAAGGTTTGCGTTTCTCAAATTGCACACTGTCTCCACTCTAGTGACTTACCAATGCTAGATATGAGAGAAACAGAGAGCGAAGGCTGACAGAATGGGGTTGAAGGGTCATGTCGAGGAGACTAATTGAGCCGACAGAGGGAAGTCACTACTTTGGTACCACATTTCAATGGTGACCTGTCAGAATCGCTGAGACTCTACAGGGGCCATAGAGTCACTTTCTGACAGCACCAAATCTTTTTGGGTAAACTTTTACATTTAATGGTTCTTATAGACAAAAACTTAGTTTCATGAGTTGTTCTGTTAAAGGAACAGTTCACCCAAAAATGAAAATGTGCTGAAAATGTATTCACCCTCAGGCCATCCAAGATTTAGATGAGTTTGTTTCCTCATCAGAAAAGATTTGGAGAAATGTAGCATTCCATCACTTGCTCAGCAATGGATGCTCTGCAGTGAATGGGTGCCGTCAGAATGAGAGTCCAAACAGCTGATAAAAACATCACAATAATCCACAAGTAATTAAAAAATTTTAAACAACACTTCAAACAGTTACTAATCCTTTATCTATAATTCTCCAGTGAAAAAGTCATCTGGTCTGAGTCAGGAGCGAAATATGCACAGATCAAGCACCATTTACAAATTACAAGACAGACCAAAACAGCTCTAAACAAATATGTGGGTGGATTTTGATATGAGAGACAACAGGGGATGGACTATTTCACTGGAGGAACTGAAGTGTTATTATGGATTATGGACTCATATTCTGGCCAAAAGCGACTGTTTTAAGTTAAAACGGCTTCATGATAGATTTGTTTCTTACAAACACACAGCTTTTCACTTCACAAGATGTTAACTGATGGACTGGAGTGGTGTGGATTACTTGTAGATTACTGTGATGTTTTTATCAGCTGTTTGGACTCTTATGACGGCACCCATTCACTGCAGAGGATCCACTGGTGAGCGAGTGATATAATGCTAAATTTCTAGAATGCTAAATTAAAATTAAAATAAAATGCTAAATTAAAAATCTGTTCTGACTAACAAACAAACTCATCTACATCTTGAATGAGTAAACTTGAGGTAAGTAAAGTTTAATTTTTGGGTGAACTATTGCTTAGTATTAGCAACTACCTAAAATTTTCCAACAACCACCAAGAAGTGCACTAGCAGCTTACGATTACACAATACTAATTTTACTACCTATTTTACTTCCATTATCTAACATATTGAATCAGGATATTCAATGAGAAAAATTTATAGGAATTTTTTCCATCAGAAATTTTTTGGAATATATGCATTGATAAATCATTCACAAAAAGACCAGGAACATGTCTTAAGAAAGTAAATGGGGTTATATAAATGTAAACATACATTTAAATACTTTTGATTATAATTAATAAGTATAACTTAATTGCATACATTCAATAAATTTAGTAAATACATGTTTACCTACATTTCTAAAGATATTTTAAGCGGGTGAATTTAGGTTTGTTGTCATCGTTCAGCAGCATGACTATTCAGTCTGTTCTGTTCATTTACCCCTACATGAAATATTAATGATTTTTTTCTTGCTGCAGCAATAATTCATGTAACGGACTTTTAAAATGCACCTCTAAATGTTTAATAACTGCTGAAACGGTGCTCACGGACGTTGGGGAATATGGTAACTGGGGTATTTCTTTAGTAACCCCTGTACTAACCCAGATTATACAGCAGATTAGTGCTGATGAGATGCAGACATATTCTTTTTAAACCACGACTGCTGATTAGCATATGGAAAGAATCGTCTAAGTTTGACATACACTTAAAGAGATCATGTGTTTTGTTCATCTGAATATTACTTATTCAGAAATCAAAACAGAAAATAGAAATCATAAATCTCTTTATTGCACCAGTTGTTTTGTTTCTCCTGCACAGCAATGAGATTAAATGAGAAAAAAGGAGTTTTCCTGGTCTCCTGTTTCTCCTGTCTGAGAAAAAGACCCCAGTAATATCACACGTGTCTCCATTAGCGTCTCAAAAGAGATCTCAACAATGTCTCAACTACGCTCAAATTCAACAGTCTGCAATCAAAAGTCATCTCATTATGACAATATCAATTATAACTCAATTAATTATAACTTTCTCATATAATTTTCCAAAACCAAATGATAAGCTATTAAACACATTGATTGCTCTATACTCTTACTGCATGTCAACATTTATCTCATTTGTGTCTTTTATTCTACACGAGTCCTAAAAATTGACTTTTTAGCAAATATAGGCCTTTATATTTCAAATTTACAGGCTTGCTCTTCTGGGAAAACAAACTATAAATATTGGTTGGGAATATACAAATTGCACAATAAAAAAAAAACTCTAGAAAATGGCTGTAATGCAAACTGAAATCTAATGGATATTTAAAAAAAATAATAATTCAAATATGCCCAGCCACAAATTCCTGTGTTAACAGTAAACACAAAAAGAAAGGAAAGCAAAATGTGCTCCTCGAGTCATTTCTGTAAGCATTCTGATGGAATGCACATTAACAACTAACTTCAGGAGGAGCTGAAGAGAGCCAGCGGAGAAATCACATGCAGAGGTAATTATGACAAGGTCAGAGGTTGTGCTGTTATTAATGAAAATAGGAGAAAATACAGTTTCATCTAACAGTTTCTGTGAAGTGCTGAACCTCTGCATTACCTAAACTCTTGACTGAAACTGTCTGTTCATGTCTAGACATACTGATGGGGCTACAGTTTCAGGGTGCAAATCACTCCATCCACTGCATGGAGAATTAGCATGAACAAAAATCCACATCAAACCATCCAAAAACCAAACTAAACAAAACAAAGGCAGACTATTTTTTAATCATAACAGGTAATATTAATCATCTAGCGCAAAGCCCAGAATTATAATAATTGTAGACTCGCTATCGCCCTCTACTGGCCTGCGCTTACATTACTATTTACACCACAACAACTACATTTCCAATCAATCAGTGTCATTAATTGTAAAGTGAATAAACAGCCTTAAAACAGACATGGCCAATGGAGACAAAGTTTTCAAAACCACGCAAAAAATATTACACATCATGCTGAATAATCTACTGAAACAACTTTCTGTCAAACTCACTTACGACCGTAAGCTAACGTTACCTCAACACGCAGTTCTGCTTGTAAACATGGCCATATTTTGCACGCTTGCTGTGAGGAAACCCACAGGGATGATCTTACCTCTCCAGTCAGGTGGATCCAGCGGTAATTTCGGGGTAAGGGGTGTTCAGAAGTCTCTGCTGAGCTCTGTGAAGGCATCTGAGCTCTCGCCGACAGCACCGCCTCACACCGGGACGAACCCTACGACTGCTGCTGCCGCGCGGCTCATGAATATTAATTAGGTCGAGATGCCGTTGCTCCGTAACATGCCTATCAGGAAGGTTTGCTTATGAATATTAATGAATTGTGCTGACGTCGCTTCGTAGCCGTATGGCTACGGTTTGGCTCATTAACATTAAGTAACAAACAATTAAAACTAATACATTCGCCTCTGGGACATGAAATGGTTGCACTAATCCAACACAGATCTTTACAAACAACAATCATTCACTGATAAATGACTACTTTATTTATTAACTAATATTTATTTTGACTTGACTTTGAATTTTTTTTCATAATTGTATCAAATGTCTTCATCTCAAGCCTGCTCTTCACTGACACTGTTGTCTCCTTACTAATCAACACTAATCAAAGCGCCTAAAGTTGAAGAAACACTCCTATAATTTTATACTTAAATGTTCATATTAATAATGCCCATTGACAAGCAATATTAATGCTAAATAAAACATTTTTTACCATTCAGTGATGAAAGAATAAATATGCTTTGACAAAGAATGAGCTGGTTCAAAGATCATGTGAGGTTGGATAATGTGGTATTTGGCAAAGGAACTGAGGTAGGTATTGGGGTTCAAACATTATTACAGGAAATTTGTCAACTGGAAAGCCATCAAGGCCCTTTTTGCCATCTAATCAGATGTTTTTAAAGGATTACTTGAACAAAAAATCTGTGTGATATTCTCAAAGGCAGTAAGTGCTGCTGAGGGATATGTACAGATATGTTCATAGTTCTCATGTTATGCATGCTCTCTCTCAGACCTGTCAATCAACGGAGAAATGTCATTGATTAGAAAAATGAATGATACATTTGAATTTGCACATAAGACTGAAAGATATTGCAATATGACTGACCGATTTACTCTCCATGAGATCTGAGAAAATGGAAATTAGAAATCAGCAACCGTCCATCACAATAAGTACAGGCACTTATGTCAGTTTGAAATGAGAAGTATGGAGCTGTCAGTCACATTATATGCTGCCACAGGTGTATTGAAGCTCACCATTCATTTCTAAAATCTTTGAATGATGAAGTTTACTGAAATGCCTGGAAATCACATGCTGGTATGAAATAAACTCACTGGAGTCCTAAACGCCCTCTGAGCCTTCAGTATTAAAAACAGATCTCTATAAGAACAGTCAATCAAACATCTAACATCAAAACCATGTCCGGGTCGTATTTCACCCCAAAATCAAAAGAAAGAACTATTTTTTGTATAAAATATTTATATAAAGTAAGCGAAGGCTATTTTTTTTTTACAATTAAAGTTATAGTTAATCCAAAATAAACAATTTGCTGAATTTACTCACTCTAGGCTATCCAAGATGCAGACGAGTTTGTTTTTTTCATCAGAACTGATTTAGAGAAAAATCACTTTTTCACCAATGGATGCTCTGCAGTGAATGGGTGCCGTCATAAGAGTCCAAGCAGCTGATAAAAACATCACAATAATCCACACCACTCCAATCCATCAGTTAACATCTTGTGAAGTGAAAAGCTTTGCGTTTGTAAGAAACAAATCCATCATTACTGTTAGACATTATATAACTTCAAACCGCTACTTCTGGCTAAAATAGTCCATAATCCTTAGTAACACTTCCTCCAGTGAAAAAGTCATCTCATATGAATCAGGAGAGAAATATGCACAGATCAAGCACCATTTACGAATTTATTACAAACATGCAGCTTTTTACCTTTTACCTTATTTGATGGACTGGGGTGGTGTGGATTATTTGTGGATTATTTTGATGCGTTTATCAGTTTGGACTCTCATTCTGACGGCACCCATTCACTGCAGACGATCCATTGATGAGCAAGTGATGGAATGCTACATTTCTCCAAATCTGTTTTGACAAGTGATGGAATGATGCATTTCTCCAAAACAGTTCAAAACATCTCATATACATTTGTGGGGTTGCTGTCAGGAAAATAATATGTGACCCTGGAGCACAAAAGCAGTCTTAAGTCACTTGGGTATATTTGTAGCAATAGCCAAAAATACATTGTATGGGTCAAAATTATCGATTTTTATTTTATGCCAAAAATCATTAGGATATTAAGTAAAGATGAAGATATTTTGTAAATTTCATTTAAATTTCCAAATATATCAAAACTTAATTTTTGATTAGTAATGTGCATTGCTAAGAACTTCATTTGGACAACTTTAAAGGCGATTTTCTCAATATTTTGATTTTTTTGCACCCTCAGATTCCAGATTTTCAAATAGCTGTATCTCGGCCAAATATTTTCCTATCCTAACAAACTATACATCGATGGAAAGCTTATTCATTCAGCTTTCAGATGATGTATACATCTCAATTTCAACAAATATTTACCCTTATGACTGGTTTTGTGGTCCAGGGTCACATATAACAAAGCAAAAAGGAAAATTCTTGATGTTAACTTTCGTGATGCATGTTTTTTGATCTTTTGATTTTGAAGTGAAACTGCACTTTCATAGTTATCTTCTCTATTGTTTCTTCCTCAGTTCAACTGATTATGTAAAATTGAATAAATGTTTTCATCTAACCTGATTCTGGAATATAAAAAGTATTAAGCACATGTTTACTGTTGGACAACCTTGGTTTTAATGCCATGCATTTATGCTACATGCCTGTTGAAAAAACCAGCATATGCTGGTTAGGTATGTTTTGATGCTGGGATGCTGGTATAAGCTGGTCCTTTGCTGGTTTATGCTAGTCATGTGCTGGCAAAGGACCAGCATAAACCAGCATAAACCAGCAAAGGACCAGCTTAAACCAGCAAAGGACCAG